TTATTTTTTTTTTTTTTCCTTTTTGTTTTTTTTTTTTGTCATATGGTAAAATGGTGCATAAATAGCTACAGTTAAAATGTGTTGTCATATGGTAAAATTGTGCACAAATAGCTACAGCAGACATGTGTTGTCATATGGTAAAATTGTGCACACATAGCTACAGCTGACATGTGTTGTCATATGGTAAAATGGTGCACAAATAGCTACAGCTGACATGTGTTGTCATATAATTACCAAACACACGCACACCAGTAAAAACAACACAAGGTCACAAAACAGAATGCTTTTAGGTACACGACAAGTACACATCTATTCAGTTTACATTTTATACTCATGCAGCTGTTTCACAGTGGATCAGGTGAGTTATTTAAACAAAGATGAATTAGTGGAACTAAACACAACTGACTCATGGATATTTAAAATCAGTGTGATGAGAACGAATTCTTTCTCTCAAAGTAAGGACAGGAGGATACAGTAATTCATTCGTACCCCCAAATATGGAAGAATTGATAACCGCGCTTCACCGGCAATTCTAGAACCATCCAACTACGTAACTCTCACTGCAGCACTGTCGCTAACGCTACCAGGTGGCGCTGATGTCAAACAAATAAAATTATCGATAACTGCTCTACATGAGATCCTTCAAAAGACCGTCAGTGCTTTCGGGGCGTGATATTTGTCTTTCGTTTTACGGAAATGGTCTCAATCTTAGTATGATGGTCTCAATCTAAGTATGATGGTCTCAATCTAAGTATGATGGTCTCAATCTAAGTATGATGGTCTCAATCTAAGTATGATGGTCTCAATCTAAGTATGATGGTCTCAATCTAAGTATGATGGTCTCAATCTAAGTATGATGGTCTCAATCTAAGTATGATGGTCTCAATCTAAGTATGATGGTCTCAATCTAAGTATGATGGTCTCAATCTAAGTATGATGGTTTCAATCTAAGTATGATGTTCTCAATCTGCAGTATAAAAGGGTTGGTTGCATGGGCGCCCGCAGGTAGGGGCAAGGGGGGCATTCGCCCCCCCCCACCCTGGATTGATTGGATAAAAAAATTTTAAACAAAAATAGACAAAAAATGTATTAAAGTAAAGAGAAAATAAAGAGAAAGTAACTAGGCTGGTGTCCTGTCCGTTCACCATACAAATACGCTACAGTAAATTACAACTATATTAAAACATTACTGAACAATTCCCCCCCCCCCTGGAAAGTTAATCGATTTTTTTTCCCCCCCCCCACTTAGAAAGTTTTCTGCGGGCGCCCATGCTTGGTTGAGACTTTTGTTGTTTTTTTTGTTTTTTTTGTTTTTGTTGGCACCCGTCCGTCACAATGTGACGATGGAGTGGGCTTCGGAGGACGAAATCCACATAGCCTGGGATTATACTTCAAGGATTATAAGCTGGTTCCCAACAGCAAATCGCCTCTCTCCACGCCGCTGGATAACCCAAGGGAACATCAATGGATGATACAGCTTGGCACCAGTGATGTCGCAGGAGTTGCCGGAATGTTTCATTTATACATTGATACAGTGATATCGTTCAGGTGTGGTGGCGTGCAAGGAGTGGTAGCACAAACGTGTAATCTTAGATACAGCGCGCTGCTTTAAATGCATGTTTTGTCGAGTAACAAGTAAATATGAAGTCCATGCATTGCCGCCATTATTCGACCAGGCTGTAACTAGTAGAGGCATTTCTCTTAAGTAGGTATGGGCTTTATAGCAACGATTTTATTTAACAAGTTGAAAATGAGTGCGTACAGTGGTAATGAACGAGGTTTCCCATTTCTTTGGGTCTATAAAGATCTAAGCGTTGCGTATGTTTACTTACTAAAAAAAAATCACTTATAACGTCTTTAAAAGTTTAACAAATGATTAGCTACAAAAACATACAAAACACCTTCCACTGATCGCAGATTGAGACCCCCTGGTTCCTATCAATATAATATACCGGAACCTGATGCAAGAAGCTCAGTTGGAGAACAGGGAAGTTGGTACAAATTGAAATGCAAAAATGTGACCCCGAGAGGTCAATCAAGGGTCAGGGGAGATCACTGGTGACCTACCGATCACGAAAGGTTTTATTATGGTCATCGTAGGGTTGGGGGAAGGTGGGAGGACTGGTTAAGTGTGTTAAGTTGGAAATACGAAGTGGGTCAAAATTGATTTGCTAGATTTGACCTCATTTAAACTGACAGACAAACGGACAGAGCAGCATAAGAAAAGCGTATAAAAACACCAAGTGAAGAACACAGAGGATCTAACACTCTATAGAAATAGTATGTGTACATTATATCTGAGCACGCGTAAACTGTCATAACATACCGTAACCTCCAACTGGGATGACAACAGCTTTGCCGACGCCTCCTCCATAACCGTAACCACCACCATGGCCCCATCCGCCGCCGAGACCCCAGCCTCCTCCGAGTCCACCGAAGCCTCCTCCGAGACCGCCGAAGCCTCCTCCGAGACCACCGTAGCCTCCTCCGTACCCGCCGAGTCCAATCAGGCCGACTCCACCGAATCCACCTCCGTATCCACCGCCGTATCCACCGCCATATCCACCGCCATATCCGTATCCACCTCCGTATCCGGTGGCGCTAGCGAGAGCGACCAGGCAAAGAACGGCGAGCACAGATTTGTACATTGTCTGGAGAATAAATACATTTCGTGAGTTAAAAGTAAACAAAATTCTGACATAAAATAATTTACTTATTTGGCAGATAATTCAATAGAAGCGCGCGTCTGCTTTGTGCCAATACAGATATCGATGCCACTGAAATTGGAGAAATGTGTCCGAATTTCAACTTAACAAACAAGTCTCGCTCGTTCAGATTAAAAAAGATAACGCACTATTTAAACCAGTAAAGACATTTAAACTTTGTTCATCTTATCATTTGAATAAAAAAACAAAATTAAGAAAGTCAATAACATTTATTTATTTTTTTTTTAAATTCATCATAACAATTTTTTTAAGTAGCTGTTTGCAAACGAAATGAAAACAAGACTTTTAATAGAATGGTTTATGCAAATAATCTAGGCCTACCAAATAATGGAGCTGTCGAGTTAGGCACGAGGTAAATAGAACGAAGCTTTGGTGTAGCTCAACATTAGATCTCCACACGCTTATATAGGATCAATGTTGACCAGGAAGGTGTCAAAGGTACTGACTTCTTTAGCCTGGCTCAAGGTTCATGTCCCTTGCGGTGCCTAAGTGTCCGTCAAAAAATATGAGTACATGTCTCCAGGCTTTGGGCCATGAGAAATTAGACTCAAAAATTATTATTATTATTAATTTTAATTACCAGTCACAAGATAATAGATATTTTAAGTACCGTTAACAAGAAAATAGATATTTTAAGTACCGTTA